AGTTTCACTCGCTGTTCAGCCTAAGCTGGACAATGCAGAAGAGGAGCATATTCTCGAGCAGTTCCATTCAAGCAGGACTATAAGAAAACTTGTTCTCGACTGTCCTGCTTTTGCTTCGACTCTGTGGGAAAAAGCTCTAAAAGGGAAATGTGCGACCTGGGTCGAAGGACATAGGTGAGACTTTCTTAATCAAACATTTTCCTTGTTAAATTGTCAAAGATCGTAAGTAGACAAAAGCCCTGAAAATGAGATCGCCTTTATTTGTAGTTCCAAGATCATTAACGCATATTTGGAAACCTCGGATTCCAAGATAAAAGAGCTGGCAAAAGAAGAGTTGCAGCCCTTTGTAGACAGTGGTCTTCTCAGATTACCAGTAACAGGCGATTCTGTCAAAAACGACTAAAAAACCATGGAGGATGAACACGAAATTGTTTCTGGTAGAGCATGAATGTGATATAAATGCCTGCTCACACGAATGACTCGTCTGATGAGAATCATTGACAGTTTCTACTCAGTCGAATGAGTTCTTTTGGTTGCATGAGTTTTGGGACGATGGAAGTTTTATACGCCTGTATGGGAAGCAAGCCGTTTATAGATCCGGTTAGCACCTCATAACATTGGCATGATAATAGAAGAGGACGCTCAAAGTTTAAATGTCTTTTCTGTTTTAGAAGTTTTGGGATCTCTTTTTATGTTGTTACTAGTCTTTTAAGCTAAACTTATCATTTTCAAAGAAACAAGAATATCTTCTTCTTCTTTTATATTTTATGAATGTAATACCCTACTAATGTAGTTTCCGTTGTCGCCCATTTTGTTATATTGCTGCTTTCCTTGTTCCCTGAAAAAATAATTTAACAGTTGATCACCTGAAAATGGAATTAAAGCTAAATTTAGTAGTCACCATCGACGGTGTAAAAAACTAGTCGATTTATGCTGTAAGTGGATGGATAGTTACAATTAATAAAATGACTAATAAAGTATTACTTCACGAGGATTGATTATCTACGTACTTTACCTTAATAAAGCAACTCTAATTCAAGAAACATGCAATCAGTTATTTAGGTTTTGTTTTAAACTACATCTAGTTAACGAGTAAAACAAGCAATTAAACCAAGTATGAAAATTCTTGAAATTAATCGAATGACAAAAAAGGGCAATAGGATCTCAAATTCATTGTTGTTAATCTACTTAATTCTCAATTATTCGGTGAGAGCCAATTTTTATATTGTCGGGGTGTTTGATACTCATTTTTAGGGAAAAATGAATTTTAGAATACTAGATCAATGAAGAATGTGTAGGTGAAAAATAAGGAATTTTTTTTGATTTACGTGTAATATTATTTTAATGAAGAATGTGTGGTTGAAAAGAAGAAAGAGAAAAATACATTTTGAAAAAAAAGGGGAATCAAACGGGGGCCTCCGTTGACAATCAATGTCTTCAGTTGATAAAGTAACGGATCCTTTGACCCAGATAGAGTGGCAACCGCTATAAGTCGGGAATTACTGTTTTCTCGTTTTCCATTGGGAGCAGCCATTTTCCACCTTGAATCTATAGCAATGTTGCTTCTGCTGTTTGCTTTTCAACTAGTTAAAATTATCTAGCTTATTTACAACGTGATATGACTGTTGAACTGATGCTGTTCATATTTTACCTTGGATTTTGGGCTTATTCATTTATTTCGTATTTTGGCAGAAACTCATATAGCTCGTGTCATCACATGCGATTGGTGACTAATAGCTCCCTCAAATATGTAATGAATAATTAATTAAAATAAATAAATATTTAATATTAATAAACAAACGCTCATTGATGCGTGCCATGAAATGGCAGGAGAGTTACTGAGGTCTAAATTTGGGAAAGAGATCATATATGAGGTAGTTATCCTGTAGCCCATCAGTCCTCATTATAATCTGCAACCTTTGCATAATCCGTTGCTGTTTTGAAGGGAAAATACCTAGATACCTGATAGCTTATTGGTTCTCTTTTATAAGATAAAAGAATCTATAAGTGCACACTAACGCATAGGAGGAAACGAACTAAACTTACATTGCCTTCATATGATGCCTGATGGAAATCCTCAGTGGTGGCGTATCTCACCAGAGCACAGTTTTCTGAGTTTTCAACAATTTGCCCCGCTAGCTGTCTTGGATCAGGCTGTTTATAAATGACTTAAACAAAACCGACGTGCTACATTAAAAGTTCGTTTTTTGAAAAATGATCCAACAAAATAGGGAAAAAGGCTTAACAGAGTAAGCAATATGGAGGACGCTCCGTGTCCATCCAATATGCTCTTGACTAGTAACGAATCACTTTTTAGATGTAAGTAGATCTCTCTTCTAGAGAACCAAATGAGCGCACAAAGCAAAATGATGTTTTAAATTGTGAATTTTCTGATAAATAGTGTACGATAAAATAGCCAGTATATAACATAGACAATAAAATCCCCGAAATTGCTCTGTGAAATCCTCTTTTTTTGTGAGTTCGCTAAGTGGGATAATTTAACATCCATTGAATGTCACTTGTGAATTTCACTTGAAGCTTTCTTTAAAAGGCATCTATGATAAAATTGCATATTTGTATTTCATTATGCATCAATACACGATTCTTCCCTTCTTGGATTGGGATTTGCTTCATTTTGTTTATCTAATCTGATCTTCCTTCAGTCTCCAAGTTATTTTTTGGCTTCAATTATTTTGGTAGCCTATGAATCATTGACTTGAATCAATCTCGTAATTACATGTAGGTTGCTGTTGGAGGTGCTGATGGTATCCTCCATCCAATTTTGGATGAAAAGTTATCCTTTTTGCATGAAGCTATAGTTTCACTCGCTGTTCAGCCTAAGCTGGACAATGCAGAAGAGGAGCATATTCTCGAGCAGTTCCATTCAAGCAGGACTATAAGAAAACTTGTTCTCGACTGTCCTGCTTTTGCTTCGACTCTGTGGGAAAAAGCTCTAAAAGGGAAATGTGCGACCTGGGTCGAAGGACATAGGTGAGACTTTCTTAATCAAACATTTTCCTTGTTAAATTGTCAAAGATCGTAAGTAGACAAAAGCCCTGAAAATGAGATCGCCTTTATTTGTAGTTCCAAGATCATTAACGCATATTTGGAAACCTCGGATTCCAAGATAAAAGAGCTGGCAAAAGAAGAGTTGCAGCCCTTTGTAGACAGTGGTCTTCTCAGATTACCAGTAACAGGCGATTCTGTCAAAAACGACTAAAAAACCATGGAGGATGAACACGAAATTGTTTCTGGTAGAGCATGAATGTGATATAAATGCCTGCTCACACGAATGACTCGTCTGATGAGAATCATTGACAGTTTCTACTCAGTCGAATGAGTTCTTTTGGTTGCATGAGTTTTGGGACGATGGAAGTTTTATACGCCTGTATGGGAAGCAAGCCGTTTATAGATCCGGTTAGCACCTCATAACATTGGCATGATAATAGAAGAGGACGCTCAAAGTTTAAATGTCTTTTCTGTTTTAGAAGTTTTGGGATCTCTTTTTATGTTGTTACTAGTCTTTTAAGCTAAACTTATCATTTTCAAAGAAACAAGAATATCTTCTTCTTCTTCTATATTTTATGAATGTAATACCCTACTAATGTAGTTTCCGTTGTCGCCCATTTTGTTATATTGCTGCTTTCCTTGTTCCCTGAAAAAATAATTTAACAGTTGATCACCTGAAAATGGAATTAAAGCTAAATTTAGTAGTCACCATCGACGGTGTAAAAAACTAGTCGATTTATGCTGTAAGTGGATGGATAGTTACAATTAATAAAATGACTAATAAAGTATTACTTCACGAGGATTGACTATCTACGTACTTTACCTTAATAAAGCAACTCTAATTCAAGAAACATGCAATCAGTTATTTAGGTTTTGTTTTAAACTACATCTAGTTAACGAGTAAAACAAGCAATTAAACCAAGTATGAAAATTCTTGAAATTAATCGAATGACAAAAAAGGGCAATAGGATCTCAAATTCATTGTTGTTAATCTACTTAATTCTCAATTATTCGGTGAGAGCCAATTTTTATATTGTCGGGGTGTTTGATACTCATTTTTAGGGAAAAATGAATTTTAGAATACTAGATCAATGAAGAATGTGTAGGTGAAAAATAAGGAATTTTTTTTGATTTACGTGTAATATTATTTTAATGAAGAATGTGTGGTTGAAAAGAAGAAAGAGAAAAATACATTTTGAAAAAAAAGGGGAATCAAACGGGGCCTCCGTTGACAATCAATATCTTCAGTTGATAAAGTAACAGATCCTTTGACCCAGATAGAGTGGCAACCGCTATAAGTCGATCTAGGATAAATCCTTATGAAACATGAGTTATATTTTTTGCACTCTCTATGCAAGTATATAGCTCGTGTCATCACATGCGATTGGTGACTAATAGCTCCCTCAAATATGTAATGAATAATTAATTAAAATAAATAAATATTCAATATTAATAAACAAACCAAAATACAATAAACTATAATTACTATTGGGCACCAAACCAAATCAAAAAATGCTCCTACCCATAATTTGTTACGAGTGTTTATTATTTCATCACTAACTAAACTTTAGGTCGTGTCCTTGACATTTAACTAAACTTAAAAAATTCAAGGTTATTGAACTTTGAAAAACACTCTCCATTCATCACTTGTTAACGATCCTAATAGTTGAATTTAACAAAAATAAAAATGTCTCTGATGGAAGAAATTCACAAGTGACGCTCAATTGACATTAAGTTATCCAAATCAATTGTCATCTCACTAAAACCGTGATTGCGTAGAAAAGAAACCGCTTAACAGAGTAAGCAATATGGAGGACGCTCCGTGTCCATCCAATATGCTCTTGACTAGTAACGAATCACTTTTTAGATGTAAGTAGATCTCTAGGTGGGGGGGAGGGGGGGGGGGGGGGGGGGGGGGGGGGGGGGGGGGGGGGCAAATTGGGGAGAATTGTCGATTAATTCATATTACGATCCAGTTTTTGAGTTCGTTTACGCGGTATTGAGTTGGATTGCACTGTCATATTGCTTGCATTTTGCGTCCAAGAAAGTGGTGAGGATCGTTGTTTGTGGCTGATAGGTTGGGTGATTCAGCTAGGAAAATGGTTCTGATCCAATTGATTCAGTCTGCTAAATGGTAAAAATTGATTACTCCAAAGTATGTTTTCATCTTGATATGTAAAATGTATTGCCTTTTATTTTTCTTAGCTTGACAAATTAATGTAAATAATGATGTGGATCACATTCATCCGTGAATAATGATAAAACTACTGTATATACGGTATATTTGTTGATGGATTTGTGAAAGTCTATTTATTTCATGGAGGTTGCTATATATACATAGCCGGCGCCCCCTCCAATAGGGGGCCATCGGGTGTCCATTTATGTACACGGTTGTGTACAACAAGAATAATCCTTATTTCAAATAGCAGACTTGATAAGTTCTGTGTTTGAGTCTGTGTTTTATTATATAGTTTCAGATTGTAAATTATTTTTTGTTAATTGAACGGGCATTTTAAAGTGTGCACACGTCGGTTCAGTGTTCATCTGGGGACTTAAATGTTAAAACTTGGGCTTTGAGTACCCTTGTCAAAACTTAATGGTGACCTACTGATGCTCAGGTCATTTAACATGCGTATTTCTCATCTTGAGCTTTTTTAGCTACTTATTTGCCCCTGCTTTTTGGGCTGATTTTTTTGCAGCCTCGAATGTTCTAACTTTTTGGGTTTGTCTTAAAATTGTAGCCCGACCCTATTATTTTAAAAAGTATTGGAGATTAGATATTATAACTAGAAAGCTTGAGCATGCCCTACTTATCTGCTTTTGCAACTGAAGGTGACCGTGACATCCTCTCTCATTAGCAATATTGCAGTTTTTAAATGGCAGACGACCAATGTCAGGCTGTCTAAGATCACCGACAAGTGTCTTCAGGTCAATAGAAAAGTTTATTTTATTGTCTTTTGTTGTCTCTATAATTTTGTTTTCACTCCCTGTTTTTCTTTCTTTTAATCCAGAGAACACAATTTTTTTTTGCAAATAGCTGGTTAGCTG